TTGCTTATACCGAACTACTGATGTGAAGCCTTCAAAGTCACTAACATGTAGCCAAACACTAAACTTGGTCACCTTCTCCCTACCTATTCCCCCTCGACTGTTCTTATCAGTGTCAAACACAACGGTACGGTCTTTTCGTTGGTCGACTGATCGGCCGGTTTCCCACCTAGAAAACTGATTAGCTGATATGAAACATCCTATGCTTGTCAGCAAAACCAAAATTTATCATTTCTAGAAAAAATATAAAAGAACCCAAATTTAGATCTTTCCTATTATTTTTACCCCGCACAAAGTAATGGCAACAAAAACTTTGTCAGTCCTTGTTCTAAAAGTTTTGTTTCGATAGCAAATTGGTACTAGCATATGTTGGAGAGACGAATCCGCCATCAGCTTTCTTCCAAGCGATCTCGAAAGCGAGAGCCATTAATGGCTTGGTCAGCGGATGGATTGCTGTTGACACAAACTACCATTCGGGCTAATTCCAATCATCTCCATCTCTTAGGGACAGCGATTTCCGGGAGGGTGCTGTCTTTTGACAAGTCATCTAAGCAATAAGACTATAGAAAATGGGATAAAATTTTCGTAAGTCAAAATACCAGCAGACTTAAGTTTCCAACAAAACACTTCTACTGCACCAACCTTTTTTCATTGCCATAAGATTTTTGCGCCACTTTAGCATGAAATATGCTCACGATGCAGTCATATTTTGGACGATTACTCAAATAATCCTCCATTACCTCCCTGCAATAACAGCTGTAAAAAACAATACGAAATAGCATAGTTAATTTGAATATGCACTACTGCGCTGCAACAGAAAGCAAAGATGCATTAACGGGAGCGTAGTAGTTATATACCTATACATGTGACGACATCAACTTTGGAACTAAAGTTCAGAAAGCTGCAGTTCTGTGAATAAACTCCCCAACTGCAAGCAAGTCCTCAAAGCTTAAAGCAACTCTCAAGTCATCCTGTCCCTGATGTTTAACCTTGGGTACAGTTCGAGCAAATTCCATAACTCAGCCCAAAAAAGATAACAGCATGAAGTTTTGGGAGCAAATTCTTTGCTCACATAGAAGGTTGAAAACCCGAAATTATCTCAGGCCTTTTTGCATACCCCAATCTATGGCCTTAAGCTTAAATTCAAACAGCTTTTAAGTCAGGAATTGAAAAGGTGCAAGTGCGAAATTTTATGAAGAAAACTTTTTAGATGTGAAATGAGAGGAACATAAACTGAGAAAATTTATAGTTATTCGGCCACTTTTTGTTACAGATGTGTTGTTAAATCAAAAACGAGCGAGGTAGGCATGAAATTTCAGGCGCTCCTTGGCAGATCTAAAAATACAATAACATTTAGGCACAAACAATTTAATTTCAGTTCAGGCCTTCCGGACGAAGGAAAAGGCAATGCAGGGAATTACGCCACAGGAAGAAGCGTTTCCGTTAGTCATCTGGAACTAACAACGAACTTCTCCCTTAACTAATTACAAGCCACTTTCATAAAACGATAAAGAAAAATGTTCACATACTGAGGGATGATCAGCCTTTTCTACCCATCGCCGCGGTCCTCAACCAAGTTACGCTAATGCATAAGTCTAAATTAACAACGCACATAAGCTAATTTTTACAGCTCACAGTAGATTTCTGATGCAGTCAACGTGTACCAGAGCATTTCAGCCATAACAGCCGTGAGTTTGCAAATGGCAATCCTTTTTATCTTTTTTCAACAAGATCAGATAATACAGTACAATGCCACTCTTAAGAGCCGATGGCAAACAGGCTAAGGTGGTATAGCTCTTTCAGGCGAGCCAGCTTGGATGGAGAACAAGACGGTGCATTAGAAAATTTATGTCCGGAAGCAGCAATGTTCTGCCATCACAGCTTGTTCAGACAGTTCCAGTGATAATAAAAAACAATGCATTAAGCAGTCTCAATCCCTAAAACACAGCGGAAAAACGAAATCACATGGTGCTATAAAAAAAATGCGCAGGAAGAAGCGTGGGTACGTACCTGGTCAACGACTGTTGCTCACCAATGATATTTAGAAATGGTAACGGTGGCGGTAAATTCATCG